ACAGTAACGAACATTTAAAAATTTTTTTCAATTTTTCTTATTAATAAATAATAGTTTAAAAAAACTAAAAACACGCTTTTTATAGAAAACCAAACTAAAAAATAGAAAATAAATTTAAATTAAGAATAGTGTTAAAAATTTCAATAAATATAAATTAATGGCTCATTTAATGGCTCCTTGTAACTAGTCATTTACCTGAACCAGTATTCTACTGGTAATGGAATGTCTTCAATTATTCAGTAAAAATTTGAGATCAAAGATCAAAATTTAAAATAACCAAGAGAATATTATAAAAAGATATTTTTTAAAATATTAAAACTCAAAAATTTTTGTTAAATATTGAATTATAAAGAACTTTTTTTGTAGGAAATTTTTTTATCTATAAAAAGATTTTTATCAATTTTCCGTATCTTCAATAATTTAGTCAAAAATGTAATGACAAGTGACAGACGATTAAAGATTAACTGCTGATTGGTAAACTTAGAATTTTCAGAAAAGCATTTATCTGAAATGAAATAAAACGTAAGATCTGGCGAAGCACTTTCAGAATATTGATAAATGATTTTTATTATCTCCAAGAGGAAAATAAAATGAAAATTTGAATGTAAGGCGCGGGTGGGATTCGTTTGAATCAGCTAAAGTTGACGTGGAAAACGAATGCAAGGATCGAAAGCCCGCTTATGGGTTATGGAGTGAAAAAAATATTGAGACCGAGGGTAGGAAAATGAAAGAGCAAAAGGGAGCTTCACGGTTACTATACGCGGGCTTGCGCAATACCAGGAAAAGAGGGAGTGGGTGGTGGGGGAAGGGCAATGCAATTTTACGCTCTGTCGGAAATACCATGGGGTGTCTGTGTGATGAAAACACCTATTTTTATTTTATTTCGCTCTTTGCATTTACTCTCTCTCCCCCCTCCGTCGTCTCTCTTAATGCAAACACGTCATAAACAAGTTCACTGCGTACTTGACAACTACTAAATTTTTAAATAACCCATCAGCTTCATCACTTCCTCAGGAAATTTCTTATTTTTCTTAGTTCTCCTCGGACTTTTTATTAACAATTCTGTTTTTCAACAAAACGTCCATTGCTTTCTTCTCAACAACAGAATTGTTTTATTTTTAATGCACTGGCTATGTAAGTCAATTACTTTCAGTGTACGAGTAGAAAAAAATAATGAATAAATTTAGGAGGAACTCAATGAAATTTTTATTTTTTTAAAAATAATCCTTAATTTATTTGATAAAAATTTAATATCTCTTATTAAGACAAAAAAAAAGTATATTTTTTAAAGTATTTGAGTTTAGAAAAATTTTCCATGATACACGGAAAAAAATAAATAGTAAATGCAACATGATGCAGTCTTGGTAAATCAACATGATGAAATCATGTTGCAGCAACATGATTTGCCAAGTTTCGGCTACATGACAATCATGTTGCGGTAACATGAGAAAAAATCATGTGGCAGCAACATTATTTTCATGTAACCTTAATAGCACAAAATTAAGCTGCAACAAATAAATATTTATGTTTCAGAAACATTATTTATTATAAAGTAATTAAAGTTGCTACCGCAACATGATTTTCATGTAGCCGAAACATGACAAATCATGTTTCTGCCACATGATTTTCTCATGCTACCGCAACATTATTGTCATGTTGCCGAAACATTATTGTCATGTTGCCGAAACATGACAAATCATGTTGCCGAAACATGGCGAATCATGTGGCCGAAGCACGACAAATCATGTGGCTGCAACATGACAAATCATGTGGCTGCAACATGATTTCATCATGTTTATTTACCAAGACTACATCATGTTGCATTTACTATTTATTTTTTTCCGTGTATAAAAATTGTTCAAAATTTATTATTACAATTTTTGTTTCAAAATTTTTTTCTAGAATAAAAATTTACAGCTATTTTTTTTTCCCAAATAAATAATTATTGAATGTTAAAAAATATTTATTAAAATTTAATAAATTAAATAATTGTTTTAAAATAAACTAAATTATTAATAATTAATAAATTCTTCTATCAGTGCATAATAAATTTTTTTTTAAATAATTTAAATTCGCCATTGATGGAAAAGTTTAAAATTAAAACAGAAGAAAAAAGTATTCATTAAAAATAAGTTTGAATGAGGAGAAAACTTTTCTTATTTATTATTTACATGTAAAACCCACATGATATATATGTGTCTGTACATATAAATTTTTTTCACTGATGAAAAAGTGAAACTTGCTGCGGTAAAGCACAGTTGAGTATAAATCAAAAAAGTGTCTCAATTTAAAGTTTTGACAAGACACAAGAGAGGATTGTAAAATGATTGTCTCTATCTTTGGAGGATCGACGAGGACTCTGGTGCCCTGAGGTGGTAGTTTTTGTTATCTCACCACATCCACAGCTGACATATAACTATTTCGAGTGGTGGTTTTATCCTACAGGCTTCATAGCAGCAAAATGAATTTTTCTTCGTGATTTTATATATCGACACGGTTCTTGTTACTTGTAACTTTTTCTGTCATTATATTTATTATTATTAAATTTTTATTCATCAGTTTGTAATAAATTTTTCTCGACTTTCCACGTCTTACTTTTTTTTATCGTGTAGATGCACAAATCACGCTCGATTGACTTTGAATTATCTCAGATATATATTATATTTTATATTTATAATAATTTATTTAACATTTCTTGTTACGTCTACTCAAATGTAAATAATTAAATTCCTATAATAGAAAATATAACCAGATAAATTGAAAAATTATTATTATCATTTTAGAAATCTATTCAGGTTATAAATCGTAACAATTAATCAAATAATAAATTTTTTTTTTAACGTTGGGTAAATATTTTTCTTCTACTGGAGCCTGAATCTCGTTTTAAAAAAAAAATTATAAATTTAATGTTCTGTCTTAAAATAACACGCCCACTATAATTTATCTATTTAACTTGAAATAATAATAATAATAATAATTTAGAAATTTTTTTAGCTATTATTATTATTACTAGAAATCTTGCAGTCACTATGTGACTGCCGTGACTTGTGAACAATAAATAAATTAAATTTTGCTTTATTAAATAATGAATTTCGTTAAATTACACTGTACTTTTTTAACTATTGATGTTTTTAAAGATATAAGCTCATCATGATGTTACATTCATCAAGAGCTTTCATTTGAGTAGCCACATGCATTTTTTATATATTTTTCATATATACATATATATAATATATATAAATATATAAAATATATGAAAAATTGATGTGGGTACTCAAATGAAAAGTCTCGATGAGTGTAATGTCGAGATGAGCTTATTTCTTTAAAAATGTCATTAGTTGACAAAATACAATGTACTTTCTTACCTATTGACGTTTTTTAAGATATAAGTTCATCCCGATGTTACACTCATCAAGACCTTTCATTTGAGTACGCATATCAATTTTTCATATATTTTTCATATATACATATATATAAATATATGAAAAATTGATGTGGGTACTCAAATGAAAAGTCTCGATGAATGCATTTTTGATATATTTTTTATATGTACATATATAATATATATATATATAAAATATATGAAAAATTGATGTGGGTACTTGTATAAAAGGTCTTGATGAGTGTAATGTCAAGATGAGCTTATATCTTTAAAAATGTCAATAATTAAGAAATTATATTGTATTTTGTCAACATAATTATGACTTTCAATCTTTGACTCAAAATTCTGGCTAAAGAATAAAAAATATGGAAAAATTTACTCATCAATTTTAAAATTGCATTAAAACTTTCTTCTCTTTCAAATTAACTCTTTTAAAAATAATTACAATAATAATAATAATAATAAGGGCCGGGTTTGTAGGAAGAGGAAGTTGATAATTTATTAACAATCCGAATCGATAAGTTAGCACCTTGGAGGACCTAGACCTAGAGCCAAACAGGTAAAACATATAACAACACACAATAATAATAAAACGTCAATCGTAAATTTAAAAAAGCTATTATAATATAATAGCCAACGCGTATATTTATATATACAGTGATGATGCTGTAGTGCGTCCTTGGAGCGATTTACCTGCTACGCCTGGCGCTGATGAAAGAGAGTCCCAACATTCTGCGATAAATAACATTTAGATATTTGAAACTTGAAAGTTTTCTTATTCGTTAATTAACTGGTGAGCCCTTCAGCTGCTATCTTGTTCAATATTTAACTCCAAAAAATAATTTTAAGGTTCTACCTCGGACTGAGGCTCGACAGAAACTCAATTTTTAATTTAATTTATTATTTGAAGTCTAATTTGTATAAGTCACACACTCTGTGGCTTGGATCTGGAAAGTTGTGATAAGATGGATTATTAATTTTCTGTCACGTTACCGATCATGTGGGAAATTGGGTGACACTCAAGTTAACAGGACGTACAACTTCCAGTACATAAATTATTTTTATCATCGCTGGTGTAGTTTTTTTACGGTACACTGACAGAAGGATTTATTAATTATTAATAATTTAATTTATTAAATTTCGGTATTTAATTTAATAAATAGTTTATTAACTTTTAATAAATATTTATTAAATCCTATGATGTGAAAAAATTATTTATTAACAAATAATAAAGCTTATTAATTTAAACATAAAAAAAATCCTTCTATCAGTGATGAACTGACCACAAAATTTTGCTTATTCTCTTAATAATATAGATTATTTTTCAAGCTAATGGATTGGCTCAAAATTTATTTATTTTTTTTTACCGTGAAAAAACATGTCAGTATGGCTGATAATGGAATGATCTTCCCCTCTTTGTCTATCCAAGGAGTTAGAAGGGAGAAAAAGCACTTAGCAGGGAATGTATCTCGTCTTTTTTGACATTTGACACTGCTCAAACTGACTGCCGTGAAGGGTTATTGGGGATGGTTATTTAGCCGGCTCCGGCGGCTGGCTGGCAAACAGAAAAAATGATAAAAAAAAAAAAAGACAAAACTGGATGGCATGATATGATGCGATGGCTGTACCGGAGGCTATTATTGAGGGTGCTGGAAGCTGTATACTAATGTCTGCTTCCTATCCAGGGTACACGTCAAAACGATCCGATATGTATTGTTATGGATATCATCCTATGATACTTCTATACATTATTCATGTTGTCTGTGTTTCCAAATTATTAAGTATTTTACCTCTTTGCTCTTATTTGTGCTTCCATATTTATTCAATTTTTTCACCAGCTTCTATAATAAAAATCTAGTTATTTTATTTTTCCCGATTCTGCAAATTTAAATTTTAAAAGTTTTTAATTTTATTTTTTTCTAAACAATTCAATTTACAAACACTCGGTGTTATTATCATCGACGATAATTATCACTAGCGTACGTTTATTATCCAAGGAAAAAAAAATTTTCCCGCGTTGAGGCACTGTACTTGCGATTATATGACACTAAATACATAAAAACACGAAAGTTATTGTCATACATTGTTATCTAATTGGCGCGAAGTTAAGTAGTCGATAAACAAACTCGTTTTTAAAATTAGTCGATATGAATTTTTTATGAAAATACTGTCTCAGTTTATAGTATAATGTTTTTAATAAAAGTGACGGACAATATTACCCTTCCCCTTAGCTCAAGTAAATAACTATTGATTTATTTATAATTAAATTATTTTTATTATTCATACTTTGGAATTTAATTTTTAAATTTCCAGCTCGAAAAAATTGAAAATTAAGGTTTTAGTTCGGATCCGATTTTTTTATAGTTTTTGCCCTATAACTTCGAAAGTTATCAATTGATTGACTCAAAACCATATAGAGGGTTGTTTAGTATCAAAATCTGCGTCGATTGCCGCCATGAACGTCAAAAACGAACTAAGTGTTTAAAAGTTAGCGCTTTTTAAAGATATCAACAACAAAAAATCCAAAAAAACACTATTTCATCATGCTTTTCGATCTAACTTTTAAGTTTCTGAATTAATCAGCTCAAAACCATATATGCACTTTTTGAGCTTGAAAAACTACATTCATTGCTGCCAAGAACATCAAAATTGGACTAAGTGTTCAAACGTTATAGCTTTTCAAAGATAACAACAAAAAATTCCAAAAAAACACTATTTCATCATGCTTTTCGATCTAACTTTTGTTTCTGAATTAATCAGCTCAAAACCTTATATGCACTTTTTGAGCTTAAAAAACTGCGTCGATTGCCGCCAAGAACATCAAAATTGAACTAAGTGTTCAAACGTTATAGCTTTTCAAAGATAACAACAAAAAATTCCAAAAAAACACTATTTCATCATGCTTTCCGACCTAACTTTTAAGTTTCTAAACTAATCGATTCAAAACCTTATATACACTTTTTGAGCTTGAAAAACTGCGTCAATTGCCGCCAAGAACATCAAAATCGAACCACGCGTTCAAAAGTTATCGCCTTTTAAAACTATCCTTTATAGAGTTTTTTGGATCAATTTTTAATTTTTTTGGTTCAAGCTCAAAAATCCCCTATTGGGTTAACTTTTGAGCTCAAAAATTCTGGAAATTTCCAGGAAACCTCTAAGGTCAACTTTTTTTAAGCTTCTTTCAAAAATAAAAAATTTTGCAAAGTAATAATAATAAAAAATATAACACTATCCTGAAAGCCAAATATTTATCGGGTCAAATTATACTCAGACTCTATTATACCAAAAATAAATTCAATTTCACCAATAAAAATAATATAATATACAAATTTTTGTCCAGGTTCGTCGCCAAACTCCGAAAGCACCGAATGCCACCTCCATATTATCTTCTACTGTCGATAACGCTGCTATCCACCTTATCGACAGTAGAAAGCGTCTGTAACTCAGCCTGCTGTACAGAAATTCCGGAGAACTACAGGGGCATCTTTAAAACACGCAACACATTCCTGTCATCTCTCCCGGATTCGCGTCGATTGAACACCCTGGCGCTAATTGGGACCCACGATTCAGCAGCCTATGACACGATAAAAGCCGCGGAGGCCCAAGCTTTGACCATTTCCGAGCAGTTGGGTGCCGGAATTCGAGTCTTCGACATGCGGGTCAGGTCTCTCTTCAACTCATTCAAGATGCACCACGGGCCAATCTACTTAAAAAGGTCTTTCGACTCCATAGTGACCAACGTGACCAAGTTTTTCCAGAGGAACCCCAAGGAATTGATAATAATGTTCATGAAAGTTGAATTTTCCGAGCTTTTCTGCACGTTGAGCGAGTGCGAAATTTTGGAGAACTACAACAAATTATCCGGGGGACTTTTCGTCCGGAATTGGAAGTACAATGACACCCTGGGTCAGCACCGCGGGAAGATTCTGCTGGTCAAGGCGGACAACGGGTTTGACAATTGCACGACCAGATTGCCCTGCAAGGTCCAGAATAATTGGGACATTTCGGCGATTGGGACCAAATACACTGCTATAGACAAGTGGCATGACATCAAGTCGCTTCAAGATGACCAGTTTGATCCCAGTCAGCATCACAAGTGCTATATTAATTACTTGTCCGGGTTCTCGGACATCTTCCAGGGCCCTAAAGCCGTCGCTACTGGCGGGTACTTCTGGTGGGGAGAACTCGATCGGACTACTGGGACCAATAGGAAGATGTACGAGTATTTTAGGAATCCAGGGAACACTTTGAGTATTATTTTGACGGATTTTCCTGGGCAGGGGTTGATCAGCAAGATCACTGATAGCAATAAGGAGGCGTAATTTGCAGAGTTTTGGGTTTAATTTAAGGGAAATGGTTGAGATAAAAGTTGTAGGGAATTTAATTTTTAATAGGAGTGAAAGTTTTTGTAATATTGAGAAATTATTGGTTTTTGGAGGAAGTATAGTGTGATATTTTTGGAAAATTATGAAATTTTAATAAATGGTCGTATTTTTGAAAATTTTGGGCTTAGTAGGAAATGTTTCAAACAAAAATTGTCCAAAATAAAATTTTGAACTGTATTTGTGTCTAAAAATTTTATAAGATTAATGTTTTGGAAGATATAAGTAGTTTTTGTCAAAATTATGATTTTGTATTTTTGGAAAAGAAATTTTTGAAAAAAAATGGCTGTAATATGTAGAAAATATAATGTATATGTATATAAATGGCTATAATATGTAGAAAATAAAATTTTGAACATTTTTGGTCTTAAAAAATGTTCCTAAGATCAATATTTTGGAAGATATAATTATTTTCTTGTCAAAATTATGAGTTTAAATTTTTGGAAATGAAATTTTTGAAGAAAAATGGCTGTAATTTTGAAAATTTGGATTTTAGAGAAAAATGTTTCAAACAAAAATTGTCCAAAATAAAATTTTGAACAATTTTTGTGTTTAAAAAGTCTCTAAGATCAATATTTTGGAAGGTGTGGTCAATTGTTCTCAAAATTATGAGTTAAAATTTTTGGAAACCAAATTTTTGACAGAAATGGCTGTAAGTTTGAAAATTTTGATTTTAGAGAAAAATCTTTTTAAAAAAATTTGTAAAAAATAAAATTTTGAACATATTTGACCTTAAAAAACTTTCTTAAGATCAACATTTTGGAAAATATAGTTATTTTTTGTCAAAATTACGAGCTTACATTTTTGGAAATGAAATTTCTGAAGAGAAATAGCTGTTATTTTGAAAATATCAATTTTAGACAAAAATTTATTGAATAACATTTATAGAAAATAAAATTTTGAACAATTTTGACCTTAAAAAATTTTTCTAAGATCAATATTTTGGAAAATATAATTATTTTTTGTCAAAATTATGCTTACCTTTTTGGAAACGACATTTTTGAAAACAAATGGCTGTAATTTTGAAAATATCGATTTTAGAGAAAAACGATTTGAACAAAAGTTGTAGAAAATTAAATTTTGAACATTTTTGACATGCAAAAAATTTTTCTAAGATCAATATTTAGAAAATACAGTTGTTTTTTGTAGAAATTACAATATTAAATTTTGACTTGATAAATTTTGTCCTCTATTTTTTTCAAAATAAATTTTTAATGTCAAATTTTTACAAATAAAAAAAAAGTTTAGTGCTTTGGCCAGTAGAGTTGTAAAAAGTGTTGACACCCACACTCGCCTTTCCTCGTTATCGTCAGCCCATAGAATCTTTAGCACAGAGCCCAGAGTGTACTCTTACACAGAATATTAAAGGTGAGTGTGAACCACATAAAATGAATTCCTATGCAAAGCAGTTTGTATACACTGGGACTATACTAGCGTCACGCTACATACGTTTTCATCCCATTTCTCCTCCATCATTCTTCATCTCTAAATTTTTATTCTAAACTACTCTTACACACTCAAGCTGTAAATTACACATTTATCTCCGGACACAACGTCTACATCTACGGTTCCAGACCCGGCAAGTCTCATTAACCAACCTCGTTTGTTTTTCAACGCTGCGGGGGCACACCTTCGTCTTCTTCTTCTTCTTCTCCTTCTTTGGGTTATTTTTATTTCTTCGTTCCCTTCATCTTCTTTCTATATTTCTCGTACTCACTTATGTTTTCTCGACTGAAAGTAATTTCTGGTCTCAAGGATATTTTTTACAACTTTTTTTTTTTTTTTAAACTTTAGTAAAAAAATTTCTGAAAAGAAAATTGTAAAAAATTATTTATTAAAAAAATTATTGAATTAGATACCAAATTATTGATTAGTCACTCTAAAAGTCGCTAGAACTCTTAAAATATTTATTTTTGGGAAAAATCATATGAATAAAAAATAGTAGCGTAAAATTTCCTACAAAAAACATTTTTATACCATGGGTCTATCTCCAGAATTTTATGAGATACAGTCTCTTAAATATTATTATCTAATTCCGACAAAAATGAAACAACTTCAGTCCCTGGAGGTTCCTCCTATTCTAGTTGATAATACAGTAATCCCCTACGTAAATTCTACAAAGTGTTTGGGACTTATTATTGATCAAAATTTATCCTGGAATAGCCACATTTTACAGACAATCAGAAAAGTAAATTTTGCACTCCATAGTCTCAAGGTCCGGAAAAACATTTATTCTACTGATGAGATAAGAAAGCTCCTAGTTGCTGCTACCGTACTACCACTCATTGATTACTGCTCTATTGTACTTATTGACTCTACTGCCGAAAATGATCTAAAACTTCAGCGAGCAGTAAATTCTTCCATCAGATTTATTTTCAATATCAAAAAAGATGAGCATATTAGTCCTCACCGCAAAGAGCTAGGGTGGCTTACAATCAAATATCATAGATTGTATTATGCGATTTGCTATTTATACAAATTACTCGAGAATGGAAAACCGGAATACTTGCGCGATTTATTCGTTGAGGAAGCTGATGTTCGACGTTCAAATCGATTGGCTGCAAAAAAACACACCACCTTCAAACTACCTCTTTTTACTACAAGTTACTTGGAGAAATCTTTTTTGGTAACTGTAATAAAGCTTTGGGAAGAACTTCCACGTGAAATTGTAAATTCGAGTAGCTTACAAGTCTTCAAAAAAGAAGTATTTAATTATTTATTAAATCTTGATAATTAAAACAAATTCTAATAAATAACAAATTTAAATAAATTCATTGAAAATTAAAGCTTGAAGTAAGGATGAAGTAATTGCGATTCGGAAGATTATTATGCTGAGTTATCATTTAATACGATGACATTAAAATTCTATATTTTTTTTAAATTATTTTTTCTATATATTAAGTTTCAAGTTTAATATGATTTTTTTTTTTTTTTACCTTGTTTACATATAAATAAATTAAATTAATAATAGTGCAATATTATATTATATTATGTACTCACAGAAATTGCTTTCTTGTAAAAATTGTATTTACTATGTAATTGAAGTTGCCATTTGGCCTGTGCCTTGGCCTTAAATGAACAAAATCTTTAAAAAAAAAAAAAAAAAAAATGACCCTAGCTCCTAAAACATTTATTAAATACATAAAAAAAGTATTATCATTATTATTATTTATTTTTTCTTCCTGTACATACATGCCTAATGTAAAAATTGATAGCCTGTGGGCAGTGGTTAAAAAAGATAAAAAAAATAAAAGAACAAGTCAAACTTATCGAAGATTATCAGCCGGAGGCAAAATTTGCCGACATTAGCGAGTGCGAGGCAATTTGTCATTGACTCGCGTTACATTATATCGACATGTGTGTAATGAGGATCCATACATAATTTACATACATACTCTTCACATATGTGTGTGCGTGTTTCTGCGTCAGGTGGGTTAGGTATTAATTTACGAGGGCTAAAAAAAAAGTTAAAAGAGCAATAAAAAGTTGTGAGAAGCCGCTCAGCCAACCGGGGTAAGATGGTTAATGGTGCTGGAAGAAGCTAACTTGATAATATACCTGCAAGGGGGGTTTCAGCTACATATATATAATGCGAGAGCAGAACCATGGCTGCAGAGGTAATCACCGCCCGACGGAACCGTTTAACAGTCTCATGGATCATGACCGGTAATGACGCCATGAATATGTATGTCGATGAAAAATGTATCGCTTATGTTTGCCAGTTCATGTGTGAGTGTGTGAATATAGGCTATGTAGTGTGTAGTGTGTGATGTGTAGTATGTGGGTTTTTGTTATTAAATGTCATGGCTGGGAATAATGTCGAATGGGAATTAATTAATGAGTTGAATATTGTGCGAGGAATATTTGCACTGAGGGGAGTTGGAGGATTACCGCGGCTACTGTTTGATTGAAGTTCTGTAATTATTTGAAGAGGAAACCGTTGTAAGGGTTACTTTTTAATTATATATTAAAAATATCATAGTTCTGCTCTGTTATTATCAAGGTTGTTTTATATGGTGCGTTGTCACATCAGGTTTAAGAATGAAACTTTTTTTGAGCTTATGATAGTGAGCACTGCTTACGTTAATATATTTTGTAAAATATATTGAAGATAACTCTGTATTGTATAAAAATGTTTTTTGCTGTGAATTTTATGAACTACAATTTTAGATTTTATGATTTTTCCTAAAAATTATTATTTTAGGAGTTATGGTCATTTTTCAAGTGTCTTGATAATGATTTTTCATTATTCATTATTTAAGTTACTATATCTCTTAAAATATTGAAGATAGCTCTATAGTATAAAAACATTTTTTGTAGGAAATTTTGTAAGCTACAATTTTTTTATTTGAATAATTTTTCAAAAAATTAGTATTTTAAGAGTTATAGTCATTTTTTAAAAGTAACTAGATAATAATTTTTGATTGCTTACTTTGTGAGCGCTTATTAAGTTACTATATCTCCTAAAATATTGAAGATAGCTCTATAGTATAAAAACATTTTTTGTAGGAAATTTTCTAAGCTACAATTTTAGATTCTATGATTTTTCCTAAAAATCAATATTTTAGGAGTTATAGTCATTTTTTAAATAACTTAACAATAATTTATGGTGACTAAATAATAATTTCTTATTTTTTAATACACTTTTTAATTAACTACATCTCCTAAAATATTAAAGATAGACCTATAGTATAAAAACATTTTTTAAAGGAAATTTTATAAGCTTCAATTTTTTATTCTTGATTTTTCAAAAAAATCAATATTTTAGGAGTTATAGTCACTTTTTTAAATAACTTAATAATTTATTATGACAAAATAATTTTTTATTTTTTTAAATACAGAGGCACTTTTTAATTAACTATATCTCCTAAAATATTGAAGATAGCCCCATAGTATAAAATTTTATGAGCTACAATTTTATTTTTACAATTTTTCCTAAA